GTACTGCTGGTTGTCGCCATGTTTGGCATTATAGGTCAGCCGTTTGTGACGGGATGCGATCTTGCATTCTATCTTGGAGGTGGGTTTGCTTCTCGCCGGATGATCTCAGTGTTGTTGCTGATTCTGTCGCTGACGTGGTGCTACAGAGAACGGAACATACGGACCGTACGCGTACCTATCAGAGGCAGAACCCAGGCGTGGTTAGTCGTTTATGCAAAATTGCATTATGCCATAAGCAAGAGAGCTACCAGGCCTGGGCTCGCGTTTCAACGTCTCGGGATGCAAGCACCAGCGCTCATAAAAAAAAGTATGATTCTGCCTCCAGGTCCTTCAAAAGTGTCATTGTCAATGCAAAGTCAGAGCAAATCGGTAGAATTGGCAAGAAACTATTTCGGTTTCCCTCGGTAATACGTGCATTCCGGTTTTTTGCCAAGGAAACTTCTGACAGCCATATCTCCTATCTCTGCACAGGGAGGACAGCTCACTGGTACATGCAACAAAGGACAAAGCCGATCTGCTTGGCTATCTCTTTGCGTCCAACTCGACTCTTAATGACCGGTGAAACACATTGCCACCATCCCGCGGTAGGAGTGCTCAATGCTGGATGTACTATTTACACAACGTTTACTGCGCCTCCTCTCCATGGTCGTCAACAATTCGAGTGGGTCTTTTGGCGCGTTAGTAGCGAGCAGTAGCTAAGCCCCGCCTTACAAAAACTTATATTTAAGTAATTTCACATTCGTGAAATTAATTTATACTTTTTAGTGCTCTGTAGACAGCTCTTACTTTTGACCGTTACCGTTACAACTTTTTAAAAGTCATTAAGTTCATCAAGAACGTAAGTCCCCCCATAGATTGCCTCATAGGGGGATATTTTCAATAGTTGCAAAGTTTGACAGGCTGGTTAATATTCGTAGTTATTTTATTTTTCAACCGACTTCCAAAAGTAGGAGATACTCAATTCGACTGTATGTTTCTCTTTTACGTGTGTTATTACCTCAGAACTTTTTTTTGGGCTAACTGATTTCGATGACTCTTATTTTACTTGAAATCTGGTGCTTTTCTCGTGGTCTCATATAAATTTGATTAAGATGTAACTAGTAGTTTTTGAGTTATCTTTATTAACCCTAGATCACTAACCTTCGTCAAAACGACGACGCGGACTCAAAAAAAGTGGTATAAATTTTGAGTGCGTCGTCGTTCGCATTCCAGATTCCGGCTAATCTCAGTTGACACGTAGCTCGCGCGGCCCACGAGTGTATTTTTTGTGTAGGGGACCTGTGTACGCCATTCCAGCCATCATGAGTCGTCGAATCGACGAAGGTTAGTATTAACGTTATTCTTGCAAAGTTATTTTTCATTCTTTTTTGGTGTTATATGTATTTCGGTGTTTTGTAAACTTTGTACTTAATTTGCCTACACTGAAATAAGAACTTACATTATTTTAATTTGAATATATTTTTATTTTAGATACGATTCGTCAGCTGTTATTAGATAATAATAGTGACGAAGAAAACTGCTCTGAGAGTGAAATAGAAGACCACCTTGAGGCTGATCCAGCTTATGAAACAGACGGTGAGGAAGAGATTTTTTCTGTGACAGAACAACCACCTTCAACTGAAGACATCCAGGCAAGTACATCTTCATCAATTGAAGACCCGTTACCTAGTACTTCAGGTCAGCCACACGAATTAATTATTACACCAACAAGTAATATTCTTCGCGGAAAAGATAAACACAAATGGTCATCAGTGAAACCGAGTTCACGAAGCCGAATAGCCTCAAGAAATATTGTTCATATTAGACCTGGGCCCACGCATAATTGTAAAAACGAACTAGATCCGCTTTCTTGCTTTTTATTTTTTATAACTGATAGTATGATTGATTTAATTGTAACCCACACTAATGCCGAAATAGCCATAAAATGCGTTAAATACAAGGATGTAAAAGCCACCCAGAGACAGACAGATTCCAATGAAATAAGAGCTCTGATCGGGATCCTTACGTTATCTGCAGCAATGAAGGATAATCATTTACCATCAAGGGAGCTTTTTGATGTTACCTTTTGTGGCAATCGATACCGAAGTACTATGTCTAATGAGAGATTTGATTTTCTTATAAACTGTCTCAGGTTTGACGATAAGTCTACGCGCGAACAGCGAAGATTGACTGATGTATATGCCCCTTTTCGAGATATGTGGGATCTTTTTTATAACTGCATGTCAAGAGAACTATAAACCTAGTTGCTACCTTACCATTGATGAACAGTTATTGGGTTTCAGAGGCAGATGCCCTTTTAGAATTTATATTCCAAATAAACCCAACAAATATGGTGTGAAAATTGTAATGTTGGTAGATAATTCTACAAAGTATATGGTGGATGCCGAGCCCTATCTAGGTTCTTTTACTAAAACTGATGGATTTCCGCTTGGCGAATATTTTGTCAAAAAATTGACACGGACTGTGCACGGCACAAATAGAAATATAACAATGGACAACTGGTTCACTTCGGTACCACTAGCCAAAAGTTTAGTAAAAGAACCGTATAAGTTGACATTGGTTGGGACTCTACGTGCTAACAAAAGGGAGATACCGTTACAATTACAGCACGAGCGTACCCGTAAGACAGGAACAGCTATTTTCTGTTATGACAAGGAACTGACATTGCTTTCATATAAGCCAAAGCCCCAAAAGACAATATTCCTATTGTCGACTTGTGATGAGGAAGGGACAATTGATGAATTGACCAAAAAGCCCACGATGGTCGAGTTTTACAATCAAACTAAGGGCGGAGTAGACACCTTGGACCATATGTGTTCTCTCGCTTCTTGCAGCCGAAAAACTCGACGTTGGCCTTTATGTAATTTTTACGGAATGCTAAACATTGCATTTATAAATAGTTATGTTATATATGTAACCAATACTTTGGAGGCTAATAAAAAACCTTTATCGAGGCGTGAGTAATTGAAAACTCTGCATCAAAAATTAGTCGAGCCACACATGCAAAAAAAGATTACAAATTCCGACACTTCAAACGGGGCTGCGGGACTCAATAACAGCGATTTTGTATATGCCAGGAACCAGTAGTTCTACTTCTACACATGAGACTGATCAAAGAGAAGATACAGTTTGTCTTCCTATCGCCAAAAAAAGAAAAATTTGTGCAATTTGCCCCTCCGCAAAGCGAAGAATGACAAAGAGTTGTTGCACCAAGTGCAACAAATCCTTGTGTGGCGAACACAAACTTGAAATTTGTCACAAATGTATTAATTAATAGTTTTTTTCTAAAATGTTTCTTTCTTTTGTTGATTTTATTACTTAATTTTAATATTTTAATATTTTTTTAAGTCTTTGTTTTTTTTCGTTAATAAGAATTAAGTATTTAAAAAAACAAAAATGTTCAAATGAGTAAAAACTCTGGTCTCAATTAAAAGACTGTCAAAGTAATTAAAATGTGATTTTAGTAAATAAAAAACTTATAAACATGTTAACAAATGATATTGTAATAAATAAGTATAACACATATAAATATTTTATTCCATAAACCCTTAGAAGCCTCCCTTTTATACGGCGTAGTCGAAACGACGAAGGTTAGTAATAAGCGTTGTAAAATAAGGTTAGTGATCTAGGGTTAATGCATGTTTACATATCTTCGAATACATTGATGATGTTCTTGTTTTATTTATATTGAAGTAGGTTGTACAAAATTTTTGAATTTACGACCGCCACGAAAAGTAATTTTTTGCTCCTTTTTAACAACTAAGGCATATCACATGTCACTGTCGTCTATATAGTTACATTCAAAACTTCATCAGCTATTAAAAATAAAAATGTTAAACTCTGAAAATATCAGTAAACACCTCAACGTCACTAACACTAAACGTTGACTGTGTTTTATGGGTAGCTAAAATTATACATGTATAAACTTGATATAATACAGTGATCATCCTCAGGACAGCATCGTGCGCTGCTAGTGAAGCATTTTTAGCGTATCTTCAGTGAACCTATTATTTGCGTATCAACGAACAACCTATTATATTAGTGCAGTTACCTACGTTGAAACTATATATATATATTATTTATATATATTCCCTTAGAGGTGAAATCTCCAAATTTATATGAAACCATCTATTTATCAATTTATTTTGACAGCTATTTTTTGACGGTTCAGTGCATATAAAAAGAACCATCAAAATGCTTACAATTATATCACGTAACATATGTACAAACCAAATCCTTTTTAAATTTAATTAAAAATGTTGGTATTAGTTAATAACTGTTGACGAACAAACTACATTTCTAATATAAGTACGCTGTATATGGAAGCGTAATACACGTTAAGCGCTTTACAAGTGTCGCAGAGTGCACAACGTCCGACATGTCTTTAATACGTAGATAAGGAATGAAAGCTCCTGTAGCGTACACAAAGATGTTGTAGTATCTTGCGGATTACGTGCTCGCACACTTGGCACAAGGCTTTAGAGCGACTCTGAACGTTTAATACGCAGCGCCCGTATGGAATCATTAATGTTCATTATTACATATACTACAATAGCTAATACCCGCGATTTTACTCTAAAGATAATGTGAGATTAATATTAGATATTAAAAAAGAACAGCACGCGTAAAAAATGATAGTTGAAAATTCTAGATAAATAGAATGAATTCTAGGTAATAGTTAAACTTCACTCACGGGTTAATTTATGAATTTTCAATATAAACACTATGTTTTATTTAATCTCACTTTATCATAGTTTATGTTAATAGTTCTTGTATCTTAAGTCTAAATTAAAATTTACATTTTTTGTTTTTTATTTGATTGTTTGTAATAAGAATGGAAAAAGAGAACGCAGCCATCTTGATAGTAAGTAGATGCTGTGGCACATAGACATCTACATATAACCTTGATAATCAAATTACATACGGATGCGTTGCCACCCCAATGTAAGTACTAAGATGGAATGCCTCGTTACCATTAAAATCCGTAATATAGCTGCACCATGACTCTATCTATCTATATAAGCGTGAATAAATGTGAGTTGTCGGTTGTGAAAGATTCGCTGGACTACGTTCACGCTTCGGTTGACACGCTTATAGCTAGGATAGCCGAGGTAGATCGTGAAACTCAAATACTTCAGAAGACCAAGGAAGATGTAACCCGCCTAGAACAGCGTTTGCAAAAATTGGAAGCAGTCTTCAATGATGGGGAGCAGCGGTCACGATTAAACAATATTGAAATCAAAGGAGTCCCTATAACTAACACGGAAAATCTATTTACCATTGTATCTAAAATAGCAACCAAAATTGACTTCAATATTAGCGATAACAACATTAATTATATTGCTAGAATTCATTCCCGTAACGATAAAAACAATAAAAGCATAATCGTATCTTTGCACAATCGATACCTCAGAGACAACTTTGTCGCAGCAGTGAGAAAATGTAAATCCCTTACGCCGTTGGATATAGGTCTTAACGGTACTAACAGAATTTTTATCAACGACCATTTAACGCTTGAAAACAAATTGTTATTAAACAAAACAAAGGCTTTGGCCAAGGAGCGGGATTTTTCGTACGTTTGAGTGAAGAACTGCAAAATCCTTGTACGGAAAAAACACAACATCACTTGTTCGTATAATAAAAACGGAGTTGGATTAAACAAAAATTGTTTAGAATCTCTCAAGTTATTGTTCAGTTTACTTTCTGTGCATACGCAAAGTTTGAGAAGCGTTGGAATCGTCTATTCATTAATTGTTTACTCACACCTCGCTATTGTTCGCTTATCAAAAGGGCAAGTTCTTGCTATCTGTGTTTGTTATAATTATCTCTATTTTGCTCATTATGCTGTTGTGCTTAAAGTAACGTTTTGAATATCGAATCTCACAGCTCAGATTTTATAATACTTTTTTAATTTTTCTTTCGCTTACCGTAGATGTTTTGTTATATTTGTGCTATGTTATTTATTTTATAGATTACAAGTAATTATTTACTATTTATTATTATTGGATTGGATATTATTATTATATATTATTGGAATTATTTATATGTACTTGGCATATTATTCACAAAAATAATTACACTTATATTAACCTACTGTAACTCTCGCACCGTATTAACTGTATTCCGTAATCATTTGATCTGTCGCTCAGGATACACTGGATACATTTACTGTAAGTTAAATATATATATATATATATATATATATATATATATATATATATATATATATATATATATATATATATATATATGTCATATTATCGCATTATTTTTGGAATGTAAGAGAATAATTTTTATTATTCCACAAAAATACCTACTTCACTGCTTGCGCGCCATTGCTTATATTTTGTGTCTCACTTGTACGCGTATATCATGAAATATTTATGCATTTTACTAATTAATACGAAATTATTCTCTAATATGCCACAACGTAAATTATTTGTAGTTGCGACTATTACTTATCAAGTTAGTTTATTGTTTATCCTGTTGCGAAAACATTTACCTAAAGAAATATAATATATACTACCAAAACCTCCGGGGCTTAAGGACTAAAGTAGCAACTTTATATAGGAATATCGTTATGAATAATTACGACTTAATATGCTTAACGGAAACGTGGCTTAATGAGGACTTCAACGACACTGAGTAATTTGATAACCGATACCTAGGTTGGAGGCGTGATAGGAATTATTCTGATACATGTCAAAGTATGGGGGGTGGCGTTCTTATTGCTGTTCGATGAGAGCTTATAGTTTTTGAACGCAGTTAATGGCGTTCATCAGCGGAGAATGTATGGATTACTCTGGCCCTAAAGCATGCATCGACTAATATTTGTTACAAATTAAATATTTGTGTTGTTTATAAGTGCTATCAAAACTTAGGTAATTCTTTATTACAGCAATTAAAATGTTTCTACACTAAATTAAATGAGATTGTGTTAAATAAATTGACAGACGGTTTTTTAATTCTAGGTGATTTTAATTTGCCGAATATAATATGGCAGCCAGCTGACGATGGGCAATCTCAATGCCCCTCTAATATTCCAGGTCCCATTCAGTCGGACTTTATTGATACTATCAATTTATGTTCCTGATCTCAGTATAATAGTCAACTAAACTGTAACAACAGAATTCTGGATTTAATTTTCTGCAATAACTTAATAGATGAGCATAAATGTCTAGACCCTTTGGTGTCGGAAGATCACCATCACGTGGCATTATGTATATCTGTTGATTTCATTCGCCAGCATATGCTTTCACCGCAAACCAGAGATAAATTCTTGTATAATTTAGCAGACTACACTAAAATATGCCAACAAACTTGATAGCACGAACTGGTCAAACTGTCTCAGAATTAGTACTTTGAAGGAGGCTGTACTCTTATTGTATGATAATGTAACGGTCTCCCCCCCTCTCTCATAATAATAAATATATTAGATATAATTAATTTACCCCTTTTCGATAATAATTATATATATGTGACCAGGATAAATAAAATATATTTTGATCTTTCTAAATGATCTTTCAAAAGGTTTATTAATAGGCTGGTTTTAATATTTTGGCGTGATCGTCTTAGTTAGGACCCTTATTTACGTTGTGTTTGTTTAGTAACTTAGTTCTTTTAGGTGTCTTTTGGAAGAATGAATATTCACTAGAGCAATTGAAAGCTGTTGGTAGTACCTTATAAGCTAAGTGAACCCCGTTCACGAAGACAGGGCTCGAAAAAGGTTAAGAACATAAAACGTCCCTATTCCACTTGCATCAGGTTTACATTATTAATTGTCTCTTCCCGCTCGGAAAAGGCTCAAAATATATTTATACAAAATACCCGATACAAGAGCTTCGCTCTCCTACATTTATTTAAAAAAAATGTAGGGGGAGGTACACGGCCCCACACACGCCGTGCACGGTGAGTGCCAACCATTTTGATGCACTCCCCCCGAAGGGAACGCTAATTCGGGAACTGGACCGTAGTCCACAACAAAATAACTGGCGAACCAGTAAAAGAGGCTTGGCCCCTTGCTAGTGCGTAAGCACAACCATCGACCGAAGTCGCGCATGTCAATGCGTGTAAACGCCAAACAGAATACGAACGAATCCAGCCACAGTGAATGTACGTCACACGGTTTAGGCAAATAGGCACACCGGCCGTAAACTCTCCGTGAGCGCCACCACCTGCCAGACCGCCGCTCCTGCAGACGTGATGTAAGTGTATGGCATCACCACCAGTTGCATGATCAGCACGGCTACTAGCCGCAGAGCGTGTCATGAGTCTACCGCTCACCTCAAGGGAATGGGGTCCCACGTTGTGCGGCTTTCGGCCGCAGCCTTGAGAGTCTCCTCAGATCCTCCCGCCAGCTACCACCCGCATGAGGTCGACACATATGCTCCACCAACCAATACAACGGCAGATATAGCCAAAAGGCAGTTATAAGATAAGAGTAATAATTCGCCATCAGAAAGGGTTTGTGTCACTGACGTTGAGTAAATGCATTTTCGATCATGTTTGTCTCACCCACCAACAAGTTGCATTCAATCATTCAAAGGTGGGAAAGTTACAGAGATATAATATTATGTTGTTATATAAAACATCGTGGAGGGCAGACAGTCTGCAGCCCCGCAATGAAGGGACCCGACTTGGGCAAAGCTACTTAGGTGTGAGTCAAACCAAGACGCAGAGAGCGCCATTGAGAATAGCGTCCCACCAAACAACCATCGCAGAGACGCAATGCTGCAGAACGCAACAAGCATCAATACGACTATCGTCGGGCTTACACCATCCCACGGTCCCCCATACATCCCAGCAGACATCACCACCCGCATACCTCCATCGACCAGAACCACAAGAGAGCGTCGAATCAGGCGCAGCACACCCGCAGATCCATCACAAGACGCAATACCGAAAGTAGCAGTAAGCATCAAAGCAACTATCATACGGATGGCGCCCCCTCACAACACACCCACATGACTCATATCGACTTTGGTAACAAAGTTGGTATTGTTGTTATATAAAAAATATCACCAACGTATCATAGTAGCACGCTACTAAGACGCCAATGGACAAAACTCCACGTATCATAGCGCTAATGCACTAAGACATGAAGTTGAGTATGCCTGTTACACTTAAAAGTGCTACCAAACACACTCATCATCCCAATCCGAAAGATAGACGACACATCGCTATGCGCAACGACGTCGCCCACAAACGGTATGGGTGTGCGATGTCCACGGGAAAGCCGTATTGCTACGACAAACCCGCTTACCACCAGCACTAAGATGTTAATTGTATACCTCCATCGACCAGAACCACAAGAATGCGTCGAATCAGGCGCAGCACACCCGCAGATCCATCACAAGATGCAATACCGCAAGTAGCAGTAAGCATCAATGCAACTATCATACGGGTGGCGCCCCCTCACAACACACCCACATGACTCCTATCGATTTTGGTAACAAAGTTTTTATTGTTGTTATATAAAAAATATCACCAACGTATCATAGTAGCACACTACTAAGACGCCAGTGGACAAAACTCCACGTATCATAGCGCTAATGCACTAAGACATGAAGTTGAGTATGACTGTTACACTTAAAAGTGCTACCAAACACACTCATCATCCCAATCCGAAAGATAGACGACACATCACTATGCGCAACGACGTCGCCCACAAACGGTATGGGTGTGCGATGTCCACGGGAAAGCCGTATTGCTACAACAAACCCGCTTACCACCAGCACTAAGATGTTAATTGTATACCTCCATCGACCAGAACCACAAGAATGCGTCGAATCAGGCGCAGCACACCCGCAGATCCATCACAAGACGCAATACCGCAAGTAGCAGTAAGCATCAATGCAACTATCATACGGGTGGCGCCCCCTCACAACACACCCACATGACTCCTATCGATTTTGGTAACAAAGTTTTTATTGTTGTTATATAAAAAATATCACCAACGTATCATAGTAGCACACTACTAAGACGCCAGTGGACAAAACTCCACGTATCATAGCGCTAATGCACTAAGACATGAAGTTGAGTATGCCTGTTACACTTAAAAGTGCTACCAAACACACTCATCATCCCAATCCGAAAGATAGACGACACATCGCTATGCGCAACGACGTCGCCCACAAACGGTATGGGTGTGCGATGTCCACGGGAAAGCCGTATTGCTACAACAAACCCGCTTACCACCGGCACTAAGATGTTAATTGTATACCTCCATCGACCAGAACCACAGGAATGCGTCGAATCAGGCGCAGCACACCCGCAGATCCATCACAAGACGCAATACCGCAAGTAGCAGTAAGCATCAATGCAACTATCATACGGGTGGCGCCCCCTCACAACACACCCAACATGATCCCTATCGACTTTGGTAACAAAGTTGGTATTGTTGTTATATAAAAAATATCACCAACGTATCATAGTAGCACGCTACTAAGACGCCAATGAACAAAACTCCACGTATCATAGCGCTAATGCACTAAGACATGAAGTTGAGTATGCCTGTTACACTTAAAAGTGCTACCAAACACACTCATCATCCCCATCCGAAAGATAGACGACACATCGCTAT